GGACCGAAGTGCCACTTGGCGTCCACCTGTAGCTGGCCAGCGATGGACCCAAATTGACCACATAGCCATAAGTTACAGGTGGCGCGGTTCCATTCTGGATTGCCGCTCGTACTGGAGTACCTGTGTCGACTCTGATCATGCCTTGGTGCGCTGTCGTTTCTCCATGAACTTTACCGGAAGGCGCACAAAGCGTCTCCCCCGATTGGCAACGGAGAAATTGTCCCAGCCCTCTGTCAGGCAAGCCTATCAAGAAGCACTGCATAGCGAACTCTCGCTGTCTTGTCCTAATGACACTGAACTTCAGTGGAATAGGATCTCGGCCCCTATGCACGACGCAGGAGCATCTGCTTGTGGCACTATCAGTCGTCACCGCACCAGTCACTGGATATCCGAGAGGTCCGTGAACCTGTTGGAAGCTAGAAGACACCTCCCGGCTGGTTCTGAACACAATGTGACCAGACGGGCTATTAGGCGTGAACTAAAGCGGAGCCTACGTGCTGACAAGGAAGCCTGGTGGACCAGTCGGGCTCAAGAAATGGAGGAGGCAGGAGCAGTAGGCAATTACCGCAAGCTCTTCCAGCTAATCCGCACCACTGGTCCCAGAAAACCAGGCGTCAGTGAGACAATCAGGGACAGCGCGGGTGCGCTGATACACAATAAGGAGCGCCGTATGGCTCGTTGGGCTGAACACTTTGAAGATCAGTTCAGCTGGCCCCCTGCTCCCGGACCTCTTCCTACTCAGGTGATGCAGGACGAGCCATGGACGGTTAGTTTAGAGCCTCCGTCGGAGGCCGAGGTCCGAAACGCGATCACAGCCCTCAATCGTTTTCGTGCCGCTGGCCCGGATTCCCTCCCACCTGCACTATTTAAGGATGGAGGTGAGGTCCTCTGCAAAGCACTGACCTCCCTATTCGAACGTATCTGGAACGAAGAGAGTGTGCCGGCTAATTGGAGCGAATCGATTATAGTGGCAATATACAAGAAGGGCAGTCGCACAGACTGTGCGAACCACAGGGGTATTAGCCTAACGCCAGTTGTGACAAAATTACTGGCCTCGATTATCGTTCGTCGCCTCACTGCAGAACGGGAATCTCGGATTAGAGAAGAGCAGGCCGGTTTTCGCCCAGGACGTGGCTGTATAGACCATATATTTACTTTGCGGCAGGTGCTAGAGCAGCGCCACGCATACCGCAGACCGACAATAGCTGTGTTCCTCGATTTCAAGAGTGCGTTCGATTCAGTCGATCGATCGATTCTGTTCGAAATACTTGCGCGGAAAGGTGTTCCCACGAAATATGTGAACATCCTTCGTGCTCTATACTCGAACACTACAGGCCGCGTCAGGGTCTATGGTGCCCTATCGGATAGCTTTTCGACTACAAGTGGCGTTCGTCAGGGTTGCCCGATTTCCCCATTTTTGTTCAATTTCGTCGTGGATTCTATCATGGAGTGTTCCCTTGCGGAATCTCACGATGTAGGCGTTGAAGTGCTGCCTGGTGAAAGGTTAGTTGATCTAGATTATGCGGACGATATCGTCTTGCTTTTCGACAATGTTGAGGCGGCACAATCAACCCTGAATAGCCTATCCAGAGTGGTCCCATTATTTGGTATGCACTTCGCACCTTCAAAGTGCAAAGTGTTGCTGCAGGACCACCAGCCACTCGATGACCCCTTGACGCTTGCTAACGAGGAACTCGAGGTGGTTGATCAATTCACTTATCTTGGCAGCTGCATCAGCAATGATGGGCGCATAGAAACTGACGTGAGCTCACGCATTGCAAAGGCCAGAGCTGCCTTCTTGAACCTGCGTCATCTTTGGCGACAGAAGGGAGTTTCCCTCCGTCTGAAAGGCCGTGTATACAAGGCCACAGTGAGGGCCGTTCTGCTCTATGGTAGTGAGACTTGGCCCCTTCGGTCTGAAGATCTGAGGCGCCTTCAAGTCTTTGATCATCGTTGTTTGCGAAGCATTGCTGGTGTCGGATGGCACCAGCGTGTCCGCAACGATGATGTGCGTAGGCGAGTACTAGGTGGTGATAATCATGCTAGCTCCCTAGAACAACAGATAGCACTGAATAAGTTGCGTTGGCTCGGGCACGTGCTACGCATGCCTGGTCACCGCTTACCTAGGAGGGCCTTGTTCAGTCTACCAGGTGTAGGATGGCGCAAGGCTCGAGGTGGACAGAAGTTGACTTGGCAGCGGGAAATGAAGTCACTGACGACCAAACTGGGTGCCGTTGGTCCGTCTCGCCTTCCGGGTTGGAGTCCACGTGACTCACCTTGTGCTTGGCTCGAGACTTTACAGGACATGGCTCGCAACCGACACCAGTGGCGCGTCTGCTGCCGTCTCCTAATCGGATTGTCTGTTTAAAGTGTGTTTGGTGCTGAGTTATCTGCGGGGTAATGGCTGATTATGACGCGTGGCAGTGAAAGCCGCAAGGAAGCTGTCTCGCCGATGCCGCCTTATCTTTGCACGATAGCCAGCTGTTTGTGACGGTATGTTGTCTACACAAGGTGTAGGCGCCTTGACCCTGAATGTTTGCTTAGGGCATTAAGGTTTTCAGGTAAGTCCCCCTTCTCTCCCTCTTCTTATTCTTTATTTCATAGGTCCTCATGGTTGTATGGCAGCGAAGCATCAGTTCAAATGGCTGATGTACTGCTGTTGATGATGATGATGATCATGATGGGCACGAACCACACCTTTAAACAGGCAATTCCGACTGGGTTACGACGTCAGTGGCTCCGACTTCGAGCCATGTCCTGTGTCGTCTCGGGGCAAGCACAAGGCGGGTCACATGGACTCCAGCTCTGGGTGGTGAGATGGATCAGTGGCACCCGATTTGGTCGTCGGCGACTGGCATCTTCTCGCTGGCAAGTCAACTTTTTCCCTCTGGAGCGTTGCGCCAAACCTGCATCCGGGAAACAAAACAAGGCCCCCCGACGGCAAGCGATGACTGGGCATTCCGCTTACGTGTCCAGAATAACACGACTCATTCAATACTATATGCGTGTTTAAGGAACTGGCCTTATTATCATTGTATAGCACTCGCCAACACACACCGTTGTTGCGGTCCACGCTGGTGCCATCCGACATAGGTATGTTTCGGTATGCCGGCGATGTCCGAGACCGCCTCAGATCGTCAGACTGAAGTTGCTTAGTGTCGCTTCCATAGAGTGTGACAGCTCTCACTTTAGCCTTGTGAACACGGCATGTCAAACGGAGGCAAACAAATCTGAAGCTACTGATTTCGCAGGATCATGAGATAGTTGTAGGTTTTTGCAAAACGTGCCCTGATTTCAGTGGTGTGCGCCCATCGTTGCTGATGCAGACTGCCATGGCGGATGAAAGATCAATCACTTCAGGTTCTTCGTATTGAAGGCCAAAGGACGTTATCAAGTTTGTTTCGTAAGCGTGTGCAACAAATACCTTGCAATTTTAAGGTTGCGTAACGCATCGCCGAGTATGGAGGACCACTCTAGAAAGGTTAGTCAGGGTTGACTTGGTGGACCCAACATTGTTACACATCAGGAGATTCCCGTCGGTGGTATTAGTGGTGTTGTGTGTTTGATGTGAGTCGATTGACGACGTGATATTTCCTGTGTGTCTCTGTGATGTGTATCAGTTCCGAGTATGTTAGTATCGTGTGGTTTTATTTGTTGTCCGTTTCAGCGTCATTTCGCGTGATTGAAGAGGCGGGTCGGGAACCGGCGGTGAGTATTTGTTTTACATTGTGGCAATGTGTTCTGAATCCAGTGTTGTGTTGTTGTAGTATTGCCGGTGATTAAAGTGGGTATGTGTATTGTTTGTGTTGTGTCTCTCTGTTTGCTTGTTTGTTTTTCTGTTTCCTTGTGGATCACTGTCTGTTTGGTTGTGTGGTTGTTTTTTGTTTTCTTGGCTGGACTTTTCTTTGTTTCATTGACTTGTGAATGGGTTTCTGTTGTTTGAGATTAATTGTTCTTCGGTTGTGACAACCCGTCTTTTTGGTGTATATGTGTGTATGGACTTTGTCTAGTGCGTGCTATTGTCGTATGGGTTTGTTGCGTCTGCGTATCTCGTGCGTGGTGTGTGGCGGGGAGTGTCGTGGTTATGCCTAGTTCAGTGACGCTGCAAGATCGGTCTCTCGGCGTATGTGGTGATTGTGGTCTCTTATCGATGGTATTCGTGCGCTACGTGTGTGTTTGCGCGTGGATATGTGTGGAGAGAGCAGGGGAAGGTGTCGTGTGCGCTGTTGTTATGGTTGGTCAGTTTGGTGTGCGTTTATTACGTGGACGCTTTATGTGTGTTCAGGTAGTAATGTGTCTTTTCTTCATGTTCTGCTAACAGCGGCAGTCCCGGCGGACACTGCGAGGTCGTCGTAATTTGGGATTACCTGATCATTTGGCGGAACGTGAGTGTATTGTTAATTGTTGGGAAGCGGTGGAATGTTTCGTTTGTTGTGACGTTTTGTGATGAACAATTTGTTGCCTGGGATGTCTGGCACTCACTATTCAAGATTCCTCACCACTTCAACCTGAGTTGGAAGATTTGGTGGAGTTGTCTTTATCCAGATCGCTAACATTTGATGCTTCTAAATGCAGTGCTGTATTATTTTCTTTTTATCGTTTTGTTAACTTGCAGTCCCTCAGAGATTTCGCGTTCACTCTTACTGTGAGCGAAAATCTCGTAGGCAGCGCTCGTCCACGCTCGGGTATCTCGGTGTCTTTTCTTCGCAGGACCTCTCTTTGTCCACGCATGCCTCTAAAACGTTTTCAAAAGTCGCAAGACGATATTTTTATGCTCTCAGACTTAGTGTTTTCAGTGCCTGGTACCTTAATAGTTAAGTTTTTGACTTACATTAGTCATACTGCTCTCCTGTCATGTTCTCTGTACCGCCTTGGAAATGCTGCATCTAATTGGTACGATCTCGAACTCAGATTTCTAGCTGCAGCGGCTTGTGTAGAGATTGTTTAGTTGATTTGATCATTTCCGGACATCTAGATGCCTGCGATAATTTTTCTTCCAAGTTGTTTTCTGATTGATTTCATCCATTCCACAGTGTTCTTTCAACAATGCTCTCTTCCTCTTCGACGCATTCGAAAATCAGCATTTTCTTCTCCCGCACGTCATCGTATCGTAATACTGTGTTGCCTCATCTATCACGTTCACTTGTTGACGCGGTGAAAGTCATAAACATGCTACGTGAACGATTGTTGGAATGATAATTGTGCATATTTTCCATTTTTTCCTCAAATATGTATATTGCTATTATCGTCCAGTTGTCCGCAGTGGTGGTGTAAATGCTGAAGAGGAATGCACTAAGGTTCATGAAGCTTGTTTTGACTTGATGAAGTTGTTGTGCTCGGGTTGCAGTTGTTATGTGTGTTATATTTGTTCTAGCGTCTGACACGACTTATTTGCATGTGGTTTTGTTTCAGCGTCTCTGATGCAACTAAGCCTTGGTTCCTCAGAGGTGTTGGATGTCGCTCGGTCATTGAGCAGTGCTGCTGCACCAAGTACTGAAACGTTGGCGGTGGAGTCACTGCGATCTTCTGGTAAGACGATCTCACTGCTGCTTGGTTGTGCTTTGGTTGTGTGTGTGTGTGGATTGTTTTTCCAGGTATCTGAGCTTGCAGTTAGTGCGTGATTTGTCAATATTTAGTCCTACAGTTTTGCGCGTGTGGGTTGTTGTGTGGGTATTTTTGTTGTACTTGCAACTGGAAGTTATTTCATTGTGCCATTTCACCCTCTTATTTAATGTGTGTGTTGTGTGGAAATGTGAGAGGATTATGTTTTTTTATTGCGGCTGTTGCCTGACTCGTATTCATGATTTGTTTTTGCTGCATAGTCACATTGGAGCAGTGTTGGTGATGAGTAGGAGCGAGCTGCTTTGAGACACGTGTGCCGATTGTGGACAAGGTCACAGGCGGTGGGTCCAACTTCGTGGTGCGTATGTGGTGTTTTGGTTCCGTGGGAGCGTGAAGTTGAAGATGAGAGTGTGTAACATATTGTTGGTTGGTGGTGTTGTATGTTTGAGCCAGTTTGTGACGTAAATGATCACAAGCCCACTTTGTAATCCGAGGACGCGGGTTCGAGTCTGCGTATGGTACTGGGTGACCATCGCCGTATCGTTAGCGGACGCACGACTGTTGCGCGACATCGAAGCGTCGGTGCTGCGTACCGGCGTACTGCTGACACGTTATTTTGTTGTATGGTAGTGCTGATGCTGGACTGTTTTCACATTTCCAAGAGTTTTTGCTCGTGTTACGTGTGCCTCGCGTCCTCACTGTTACCTTTTTGAGGATTGACGAGGCTGAGACGAGCTTCACATCAACTGTTCCTGGTCGTTGCGCGTCATTACGTATGTACCACAGCATGTATAGCTGTGTGAGTGTTATCGTGGCATTTGTTGCCTGTTCGATGGTGTTGTGTGGACTATACTTTTGGAGTAGTGTATTTGGATGGAGGGGATGTGGGCAAATTCACACCTCTGCACGATTGTTCTCGTTAGATACAAGATGCGTATGAATTATGTGTGTTTCAGGCTATTAAGCCAAAGGCTCCTTGCGGAGTATCTCAAGCAAACCTCCAAACCACCGACTGCCTTGTGGGTTTGGCTATTGAGCCAAAGGCTCCGAGCAGAGTCTCTCAGGCGAATCTCCAAATCCTCCATTGCCTTGTGGGTCAGGCGATTGAGCCCTAGGCTCCGGGTGGAGTCCCTCAAGCAAACCTCCGAAGCACAACGACCACCTCGCGTGCGATTGCCCATCAATGCAATCGTATGCCTGCGCGCGTCGAGTGCTGGAACGTGCGGACATTACTGGACCGGAACTCCAGTGAGCACCCCGAGCGACGCACAGCACTGGTCGCGATGGACCTGGCGCGTTACCACATCGATATAGCAACTTGGAAGCAGGCTGTCGATATCAGATCACTTAAAGAAGCTCCAGTCCGGAGTATTCGTACGGTGCATTGAACGGACAGCCTACGTTATCAGATCCGATAAGAATAACGCGCGCATGTGGGCCAGGCAATTACCGGCTGGAATATGGCCGCACAGTCAACTCACGGAACGTATTCATAAGTAACAGACGAACGGAGTATGTGCCACCAACCTTCATTGACGAAACTACGCGAAGCACGCAGCTCCGCAGGATGGGCCGAGAACCAAGACTGCCGAATCAATATGGTTTCGACGCATTATATGAGTAAGCGGAAAGGTGATGTTGTATATTCGGTCAGCCTGCTTGACGGCTAGTTTAGACAGACTCGTGCACACAACCCCAGACATACACACACAAGTGCATATTTCTCCGCTTTCCTATTAGTTCATCCTTCTCCTTGTGCACCTTAATGTACTCACGTAGTTAGACACTTCTCAGGTTGCAGTAGTTTGTTTACCGAAGCGATCTTCTTACTTCGTTTCGTTCGCTTGATTTTTCGTACACAACACCAGACATTCCTGTCCTCCTTCTCAACATCTTTATCCTGTCCATGACAAGCCACAAATTCCCCGCTGCGTGGAAGCACGCTATAGATTCGCCACGCCACAAACCTTTTTTCCGTCTAAACATAGACAACTATTGATGTACTCATGAGTAGGGGACTTTGATGTAATTAAGTGAGGTTTCCGCAGCCAGTTTCTAAATCAGATAGTCGTTCACATGCTCGGAAAAGCACTAGACTGCAGTTTCAGCC